TATTAGTTATTATAAAGATGTTTCGTTTATATATATTTTCCTGTTTGAATTTAAAATGAGTCATTAATAATCTTAAAAACAGGCTTGCTGAAGACGAATGTAATATTTTATTTTTAGAATTTATATAAAAAAAGAAATACATTATTTTTATTAAGATATGTGCAAAATATTATAATATATTTTTTTAAATATATGCAAGATATTATAATATTATGACTACATTTCCTATTCACAATATTATAACTTATAGAAAAATAAAAGAGAAAAACTTTCGAGAAAGATATCTTACATAATATTCCATATAAAATATATGGTATTTTTAGCATTCAAAAATATTTTTAGAAGTAAAATCTTTAGAGTTAAATTGATAAACGAAACTCTTTCGAGTTAATGTTCTTTCAACAAATATTTAATTTTACAGGTCTATTTTTTTATAATATGTCATATCTAAGAAAAGCATGCATTGACAAAACCCATAGATAAAAGCCACGAAAGCGTAATCATCAACACGCGAACTTGCCTTTTGTCCGACAATGGCGGCGATCCTGTTTGCAATCAGTGAAGTGTCGCGTCACGCGTTGACGGGCCCGTCCGCGCGAAAAATCCGTCAAAGTACTACAAATCTACGTCGCGATGCGCCGATTGACAGTTGTCGAATGCAGAAAGATGCGAGGAGAGTAACTGCGCGCTCTAAAACGAGGAGATGCGGCAGTGATATATTGCCTTGCCCTTCGCGATCGCATCCGTTTCGATAAATTCCGCAAGAGTCGAAAAACCAAGCAGTCCTTCAATATCGAAGCGCAAAAAATCGATTAATGTCCGGCTTCACCGACAACAAATAACTTCTCCGCGGTTAAGTCTCTATACACTATTTTTCTTATATTGAAAAACTGAGATACACCAGGTTACTACATTTTTCCACATCTTTATTAAATACGAAATATTTCACCAATTCGGAATTGACGTTTTTTTATAAATTTTATTAATTTACGCCATGTTCTTCAATGCCGTAACTTTCAAATATTTAATTTTAGGTATCTTTGTTCCCTTAAATTAATAAATAAATTTAGTTAAAATTTAATCAAACGTTAAATAAAGTGTAAAGTTTTGTTATCTACTTACAACGAAATTTTGAAAGTGAACTTATAAGAACTTACAGTTTCTTATTTTCAATTGCTTATAAATTAAAAACTTCAACGAATGATAAATATATATTATTTATTATAGGAGAAATTTAAAATTAATAAATGGAAGTAAATAAAATCTATTATGTTATAAATAGAATGCGATTATTTCCAATTTATTATTATGTTATTTATACGCTTTTTAATCCGATTAGAGATAATTTTAATTTTTATTTGAATAAAGCTGAGAGATATAAGCGGAAAGTGAAAAACAATTTGTGTATGTTTGTAACCGTGTAACTGTTCTATTTCTATTTCTCTATGTCGCAATCCTGATAAGGATTATAGTAACGCAATCCTTATCAGGATGACTTTTAAGTTGTATCATTGTGATAAACTCGTGCTTTGCATATCATGCATGAAATGCATGTATCACAATAATTAATAAAAAATATATGTATGAAAAAAATAGAAAGAAAATATAGATAATATAAAATAATATAAAATAAAAAGAGAAAACACACATATGTGTAAAAATATTGCGGTGAGCAGTCTGAACTAATTGATATCTATATTTTCATTCTATATTTTCAACTGATACTGTTAAATATTCTTATATAATATAAATTCTAGCTAACTTGTTACGTCACGCAAACAAATTCCTTTCGCAGTTTTTCTCCTAAATAATTCGACGTTCGCCGGAAATCCACGACGAGGAATGCTAAGGAATTCTAGAAGGACGTCGTACGCGCGTACGCCCCTTTTATTTCTGTTGGCCTTTTCGTTGCGTCGCGAAGAATTTAACGCGACGAGAGAGAAACCCGAAGATCGTGCATGGACTCGGACATTTCGAGGAAGATGCCTGAGCGAATCCGCTGGAGTTCAACGGCGGGGTTTAAGACTGCGCAGAGTTAAGCCCGCGACCCCGGAACCAGAGAATGTGGTCTTCCCCGGGCCAGGCGTGTAACTTCATGCCAAGAGTATTCGAAATACTCAACGATGAAGTATGCCACGGTATTAGAGGTCTGCAGCCTGTAACAAAGCAAGCCCTCCGGGTACCGGAGTTTACACACGAGTCTAGGCATCCGCCGTTGCCGTCACCATCCGCCATCAGGGAGAGAACGAATGTTAATGCAACCTCGAAAACTTTGTCATCGACGCCGACGACCCGTTATGAGACCGATAAGCTACCGCAAGGTCAATGAGTTGACTCGAAACCCACATGAAACTGCGAAACGTTTTGTTTAAGTAGTGAGATTTCGTGTAAAGGACTGTACAATCACCGGAATTATTGAAATTTTAATAAGTTGAACAAACACTGCAGTAGAAATACAATTATTTCGACTGTTTTCTCGTAATTCTATTTCATTATTATCATAATTTATTATTAAATATTTATTAATAAATATATAAATATATAAAAAAAATTATTATTAAATATTTTTAATAACATACAAATAATACATATAATCTTATTATGAATGTTCATATTTAATAGTCAAATTGTTACCAAAATTTTTATAATAATGCAATATCATGTTATATAACCATAACATACTATGCATAATTAAATAATATAAGTAGAATAAAAATAAATAAAATAGAGTAAATAATGTATTTTTTAAACAGACAGGTGCTCTCAAGAAAAATTTTAAATTATAATAAAAATTAACGCATACATTTTAAATCCAGAATGGCATAATAAAATTTCTTTGTTCTTTAATAAACCGATTAATCTAAAATAAAATACATAGGTTTTCTTAATTTTGCATATTTTAAGAAAAGCATAAAAGCATTTTAAATGTATTTATTCTATATAAATACTTATTATCTCTGTTATTATGCATTTTTAATTTAATATCTTAATGCATATTAAATATTTATTGTAACTTTATTAATTTACTTATAAATTTATAAACATAAATAAAGAATATATATTTAATTAAAACTCTGAAAGAGTATATAAAGTTCTTAAAAAAATAGTACAGACGGTATACACATGTTAGGGATATTAAAATATAATATTACAATGAAATAAAATTATTAGAAAATTTAAGGAATATAACTTTACGGATGTACTTCGAAATGTTCTCGTTGACAATACAATGTAAGATGGAACACGATAAAAATTCAGCCGAAAAATAGTGAAAACATCTGTTATCACTGCGCAATTCGTACGCACGTATGCAAAGAATTCACAAAGAAAAATGCAATTCATTGCCGAAACATATGTCGGGTTTCTTCCTCTTTTGCGACCGAGTGTATCTTTCCTAAAAGGCGACCAGCGGAACAATGCTTTTAACTTTATAGTACTACCATTCGACTGTGTTTTCTTGACCTCTTGAACTCTTATACTACAGACTCGGTTGTTAACCGGACTGAGAGAACTGAGGTTTCAGACAATAAATCAATCAGCGTCATGTTACTTTTATTAATTTGACGCAATAGCCTTGAGAATTTACATTCTAATATATATCATTGATGACTATTTTATATAATTATAGACGGCATGCGCATAACCTTTTTATAAATGCCTTTTAGTATATTTCAGATAATAAAAAACATATGTTTTTTCTATATCTCGTTTCTTATTAATTATATTATTGTTGTATTGCAGTTTATTATTATATATTGCAGCTAAATATTTTATAGTTATAGACAACATATAGTAAAATGTGTAAATTTAATTTAATAATCTAATATTTTTTAAATAAAAATAAAATATCAAATCGTCAGATTCTTATATTGTATAATAATGAAACTAATTATAATTTATTGTTTCGTTATTTCTATTCTTGAATAATAAAATTATTGAATTATTAAATCATTTTCTCAATCGAGCGTCTTTGAATAAAATATATAATTAGTATTTTATATTCATCTTAAAATATCTAAAAATATATTACATATAAAAAGTATAGAAAAAAAATAAACACTGGAGCACATTTTTTAGCTGCGTAAATTATCAAAATCTAACACGATATATAATAAAAACAAAAAATTAAAAAACAAAACATTAAAAAATTGAGGAAAATTTAGTTTCTATAATAAGTAGACTGCGTTTCTTGCTATAAATTTTTTCACTTATTAATTTATGGATTTTTTTGATTAATATAAATATATATTAATATATGTGCTCGCGTTACACACATCGTCGATGTATATAACATCTTTAATATCTTGAATTTAGAATAACAATGCTTTCCGCAATTAGATTTTGTGTGTTTTCGAAACAATATATATGTATAGTGCTTGTAAAATTCTGTTGAAACACTAGAATGCAAATTTTTTTTTTAAATTCAAAATTAATATATATATTTTCAGAATTCATTATTTCTCAAATCTTCTTACTTATATCGGATTCATAAACATATAATATTTATATAAAGTCCGACGTTCAATAGTAATTGAATAAAGTATTTGAGCTGTGTATGTGATTATATATCATTTATCATATTATCAAATAATTATCTTCGATAATTATCATGCATATTATTCTTAAAAAAATATATTATACACAATTTTTATAATCAGGGATTTATTGTTGTAGTTGTATATTATTATCAATGTTCTAGAGAGAAACACACGAGATTACAGTAAATGCATCACTGAATGCAAACATAGCCTGCATACGAATATAAATGTAAATATGCCTGCATACGAATATAAATGTAAATCACTTATGTAAAAAGAAAAATAAGAACGTAATGATTTCTAATCGGTTAACTAATTAACTCTTACACTTGGAATCTTTACTTTGGATCGGATGGATAAAGTGCATGTGATAATTGGGTATTGACCTTGAAGAATGAGATAGAATGAGATAGCTTTATGAATAAATAGCGTTCACTGTCGATGTGCTTAACTCGTGCTACACTGCGTTAATCTGATGCAACGAGTCGGATCGAACGGTCAGAATTGGTCGGTTGTGTCAAATTTGATTGCTAACTTATTGTTAGTTATTAAATATACATATAAATATAATTTACGCCTGATAAAATCATTTCGATAGTATCAATGCAGTTTGCAACGAAAATAAAAGTGAGAGAGTGCTAGTGATTCTTAGAAGAAACAAGGAATCGACAACTGATAAAAGAATCCCTTTTACGATTGTTGTTCCTTTATTTTTATAGTAAGTATATTTCTATAAGAATGATAAAAATCTAAAGCGTAAGAATATATATATATAAAATAAGAAAATAAGATATAAATATAAAATATCTAGACCTTTTTATTTTTCGTGCTATATATAAATTTTAAAAAATATAAGTATTTCAAAAATACTTGTATATAAACATCAATATCTTAATAGAGTTTGAATACATTTCATGAAAGCTGATGGAAATATGTATCCATCAGTCGTATTTCATCAAACCTAGTATTGATATTTTTCTGATTATCTCGTGACAAACATTTTTCATCGGAATAAAAGCATGATGTAATTATCGACTCTGAAAACGTCTTATTGTCAATGTATGCCTCGAAGCGAGAATGACTTTCGCATAATGCGATTACAAAATTTCATTTGACAAGAATCTTCCATTTCACCAGAATGCGCACTTTGCATAAGTGCAGGAATGATTTCCTGCATGAGCAATACTCTTCATATTTAATAAACGAGTATCTTATTTCGCGTTCTCCGATTAATTGCAGAAAAGATAAGATATAAAACGAGATAAGATATAAATAAATCGGGACAAAATTACAAATCATATATATATTATAATCTTAACTATATAATAAACTATATAATATTATGATCTAAACTTTACAAATATAATTATCCTTCATGACTTGTTTAACAAAGAATAAAAATATTCGAAACTACATAAAATCTTTCATAATTTGCTAAAATATTAATAAAACTAAAAAACAATATTAATTTTTCTATATATAATAATAGCTATAAAAATATTGTATTAAAAAATATAAATATAACTTTTTCTTAAATAAAAATATAAATATATACTTCAAATAAAAATTAATTATTTAAAATAAAAATATAAACTTTATTTTAATATCAATTAACTTTTTATTGTGTAAAATTATAGTATTATTCACTTTAATATCTATAAATTATGCAGTTGCTTGTTGCTGTAAAGCTATTAAAGCTCTTGATGTCCAAGATGTATAAAATATACTGCATAATTTAATTTCAAACATCCTAGCTGTTACTTTATTTACAAGAAAAAATATATAGAAATAATTATTTAAAAAAACGTTCAATAGTTAATCCTAATTTCACATATAGATTCACGTTTTATCGATTTTTTTCTGTCGTTTTCAAATTCAATCATCATTAAAAATTAATTTAAACATAAACAATAATTTAGACATACATTACAATTCTAAAAATTAATCATAATTTCCAATTAATTGTCTAGATTGATTTCTTGCGTATTTACAATGCTTATAATTAGATTATGCAGTATATTCTATACATCTTGGACATCAAGTGCCGTCAATATTTTGCGTCATTAGCGCTTTCTCAATCATCTGAGCATCCAAAGTGATCTCATCGTTCTTCGCCATTGGTGAAAGATAATTATGCGCAAACATCGGACAGGTAAACGCAATCGTGCCAAAGTAAAGCGGATTGTTAACGCCGGCAACAGAAAATCGCGTGGACCTCTTCAAACATTTGCGAATCTATGCGAGAAATCGATCGAGTTGGAACGTGACAATGCAAATCGATGACATTACATCGTGGACGAGATGATATTTTTCACCGTTAAATTATTAATATTCAATAGAAAAAATGACTTGATAACGAAAATTTAACGGTATTAAAATCTAATGCAGTAACTCATGAATGTAAATGATATTGCAAAATTGATGATCATATAATATATTTAAATATAAAATAATATAATATACAAAAGAGTTTAATATGCAAAATATCAAGAGTTATATTTAATTATTATTATTTAATATTTTGATAATTAAAAATTTGTCATTACTAGTGTTATTGATGTTATTAATATTATTAATTGATATGCCCTACTATATTATCACAAAATAAATGCACCAAAGAAATAATTTATGATACACCTGTCGCTATATATATATATATGTTTTTCTATGCAATAATAATTTTTTAAATATGCGCCCTATAAAACGAAAAATAAAAGCCCACCCTACCATTCCTTTAACAATTCAACTCACGAGTTAAATAATTTTTTAAAGCAGAAAATCATGGCGTGATTTTACATTAGAAATAATGATCTCAGTTGTGGTTTTCATAACGACGAAATTTCGCATTGGCAAAACCAAGCGAGTCGGAAACTAAGCTGCTGGAACGCGCGTAACGACGCAAGCAGACCGATTTTGCAAAAGAACCAATTCTGCAACGTCACGACGATTATTATATAAAAGAGGCTCATTATAATACATCGCAGTGTCAGCGCAAAATACCGCCGAGTTATCGTCGATTTCCTGCACACTCGAGCGAACACTTTGCTTGTACTTCACTCGTGGTCCCGATGATATTTCGTGTCCCATCAATTTTGACGCGGAATGCACTTCGCGTTTCATAAACGATCAAATGCATAAAACAATAATATGTGCTATTTTTAATTTATAGCAAAAATCAAACACAATTTCTTTAATGCATTTTTAAAATACATATCACATTATATACTTGATTTTTATTATAAATCAAAAATAAAGTGGCATCTTTTAAAGTAATTATAAATAATTTATTCTAACACGAAGAATGAAAAGAATTAAAGAGAATATAGTTTCAGTTATGCTAATATAGTTTCAATTGTGATGCTAATATAAATCTAAGCCCACTTTACATCGACTTCGGTATAGATTGTTTGTGAATAGTGTCAACTATTGACACCGGTTACAAGCACGTCGCGACTAGGATTTTTCACGACACATCTTCACGCTATTTCACCGGCGAACTTCGTAGACAGAAGGATCTACAGGCATGACGGCGGTTCGTTGAAAAAGCGACGAAGAAGACACGAGCGAACCATGCGAGGGAAGAAGAAAGGGGCTCGTAACCCCGCAGGCGGTCGCGGCAACGTTATTTATTGCTCGGGCCGATGAGTGTCATTTAAAATTTCGATATAAATTAATTTAAGGGGGTAAAGGGGGTTTCCAGGACGGTCGCAGTGGTACGGGGCGTAATGGCTCGGAAAATGAAGTTCTTGTAGCCTTACCGAGAGAGAATCTCGCCCACCGTCAGCTCGCCCCCGCCCCCCCGTCCCTCCGCCCTTCCTGTTCTCCGCTCTAGCACTCTTACCCTTACACCTCTTCGCCACCTCAAGCGTGTGCCGTCCCCCTCCGCCTCCCTGCCCCAACCTTCAACTTCATCCCCTTTCATCCTTCCGCTCCTCTCTGCTCTTATTCCCGGTCTTACCCGTTCGCTCGCGGAGACTCAACATTGCCTGGTGAAATATCCCTTTGCCTTCGCTCCGCCAGGCTTCCATCCACGCCCAAGCACTCCGCCTCGCCATTATCTTAAGTAAACAGACTACCTGCGCGCCGGGAAATTCCAGATAAAGTCACATGTTATCAAAATCCACCCCCGGGCCGCTCTCCCCATCCCTGGTTCGCGGCCGCCCTCAAAGCGTCCTCCGAGCGCGTAGCTTGTCGTTAATTCCGTTAAGTCGCGGCCTTACGTTCAACGTGGCAAGCAGCCTGCGAAATCGCTCGAAGAGCTACGCCGCTTCTGGTAGCAGTCGAGTGTGTGGAATTCCTAATAAGGAATTTCGAAATGATATCGGCAGTAGCTCATACAGTCTCTGCTCGTTTGCGTGATAAAAGGATCGACAGATGATTGTTCTGATTCTGATATTGTTAGCGTCATCTCTTCGATAAGAATTTATATCAAGAAACAAATACGTGTGTCTAAAAATTCGTTGGGAGAGAGACTTGTAACTTTCCATCGAGCTATCAATCCTTTCAATTACTATTTATGCAAGATTTCTAAAGTATATATATATATATATATATATATATATATATATATATATATATATATTTGAGCATAACAATCTACTTTGAATAAAAGTCCAAAATAGTCTATAAAATACATAAATTATAATATTATAATATCATAAATCATAAATTACAAAATTATAATATTTTATATACTATAAAACTTTTATATATTATATGTATATATGTGTGTGTGTGTGTGTGTGTGTGTGTGTGTGTGATTGAAAATTTTTAATAAAACTAAATTCTATTTTCAAGTTTAAAGTGAACGCTCGTTTTTCGATATGCAACATTGAAACATATTAGTAATTAATTCCAAAAATATACTACAGAATTTTTTAAGTTTTCCTTTACTTTCTTTTAGTTTTCTTTTAATTTTTTGACTTATAAACAAAGCATTCTTAAAAATAAGTCATTTATATTACATAGTAAATATCAGATTTGGAAAGCTTGAAACTGAAGTATAATATCTTTCGACATGTTGCAATCAATTTGCAGAGACCGAAAAAATAGTAGAGAAAAGGACGAACGGTAGAAGAAATCGGTTAAAAAATCAATAAATCAATAAGCTGAAATAAAATTAGTCGCGAAATTTTTCTTTTGCATTTATATTTCAATGTACATAGTAGGAAAAAAGAAAATAATCTGTGTGAACAGGGATTTTTATGTAGGAAAGGATTTTTCTGCGTTCACCTCTTCAACTTTGGGATCATAAGTATTCCCGGGGTGTCTAGGCATGTCGCATGAGGCCAAGAATTATCGGTATGTGGCTCCAATGTCCCAGTATATGGCCGCTACAATCAGAGTGGCACGCGCCCTCGACCATCCCTTCTCCTTGTAGCTTCCCTAACCCTCCCCCGGAACCTCGTCCGTGTCGTCGACGACGAGACTAACCCCGAAGAGCGATTCCCCAGCACTTCAGTGATTCCCGAGAACGCGCGCCCGCCCGTTGTCGCCCCCGTCCCCTCGGCTCTCCCCGCGCGAATACCTGAAGATGAGCAGCTGGATACCGGATGCACACCGTCGCATACATTCCCGCGAATGCATACGTTGCGGAGAACGTCGGAAGTCGGTTTGCTTGCGGTCTAAATACCGATAATGCTCCCATTGCATACTATTCTTTCTTTCATTTATTTATTTTATTTATTTATGCTTAAGAAGTATTTGTAAAATTTAAAAAATTTTAAATTTAAGATTAATTTTAATTAAAGAAAATTCAAAATTATAAAAAAAATTTATAATATTTATTCATTAATTCAAAATTAATAAGCAACAGATTATGAGATGATTAACTTTCGACTAATATATACATATATAAGCTGTATATAACAAGGATAAATTAAATTTTAAATTTATAATTATTTTTAAATTTAAAATTTACATGATTTATTTAAAACATAAAATTATGTACTTAGAATGGCTTTATATTTAAAGTAAATCGTTACCAATTAAAGTTTAATAAATTGTAAACTTTTTGTTCTCTCTGAACGATATAATAACAGTTTTTATAAAATGCTAATATTATTTATATATTCTTTTTAAAATGAACTTATAATTAATATTTTTATAAAACGTTACTATTATTCATATATTGAGAGAAAATAACTTTATCGATCCTGCGCGATTTTACATCTATATTTGAGAAAAAGAAATAATTTAAAAATTCTAATATACTTAAAAAGATTAATGAATTATTAAACAATTTACTCTTAAATAATTTCAACTTATAATAATTTAAATAGTTTAAACACTACTATAAAATAAGTGAATATTGTATAGAATTATATAGAAAATATAAATATTAAAATATATTTGTGTTATAAAACATATATATAATTAAAGTAAAAAAAAATTATGTAATTGATATCTTATTTCTGCGCATTTCGAAGGGATAATCTCTTGTTGATTTCTCAATGTTATTTATATTCATTTTATAAATTGCGACGTACTATATGTTCATTCTCGATTTTGTAAAACATTGGCAAATTTTAAATATTACACCCTATATAATGCACGCTTTGCACCAAACGGAGTGACGTCACGCAATCTCGCTTATTACGACTACTTATAATAATCATAATCGTATCGTTTTCAAACTCACCCATGATACTTTCTCGATCGCCTCCTCCTCGTCCCTCCGTCATCCTCTCGCACGGATAATTCCTCGTTTTCGTACGATACATCCGGATTTTCTGGAAAAAAATACGAAACGGACGCGTTTTTAAAGCGGCGCGAAAGTGGCTATGCCAGAATGATTACGCTGGCAACAGCATATTATTTCGCATAGAATATAGCTCGGCGTTTCTGTAGAACAATCGGGGGTCGAGGGGGATCGAGGGGGATCGAGGGATGGTCGAGGGGGGCTCGAGGGGCGTCGAGGAATGCCGAGCTATATTCTATACGAAATAATTTGCTGTTGCCAGCATAATCATTCTGGCATCAGTGGAGTGGCAATCATCCAAGAGACAATAATTTGTGCTAATCTTGTCGATCCTGCGCGCAAAGTACGCGACTTCATATCTAAACGATATAATATATGCTAAAGAATGGATTCAATATAATATTAAATACCTGTCGCCGCTAATCTGTGAAATTTTTCCAAAAAATGCGAGCCGTTAAATCAAACGCGAGTCCTCCATCGTGGAGTGAACGCGGACACTGCATCCTTGTGGCACTTTACCGCATTAAAAATTAAATTGTTGTGCTCCGTCGATAAAAATGCACAAATTCACAATTTGCATCCAAGAGGTTTATATTTGGCAAAGCGATAAATTTAAACAATGAAAATGCAAAAGGTATTCTTGATTTAATGTGGAACAATTTTACTTTAATAGAAAAGATCATAAGTATCTCTCAATATATAAATTTAACTTTAATGACAGATTAATTTTAAAATATAACAAATTATTTCAATTAACTCGCGGTTATGTTTTCCTCAACATTTTAATTGTATAATGGATTGCAATTTTTAATCAATTAAAGCTATTAATTTATTTCTGTCTTCTTTTAAATTCTTGCATATCGAGCAATATTATAAAACTATTGATATATACGCTAAGTTATAATATATTTCTATTTTATCAAGAATTTCTAAATAATTTTTTTATGCATGTATATTATTTCATTCAAAACATTAAATGAAAATGTTGTACAAATATTTCTAATACATTTTCAATCGCATAATATCTTAAAACTATAGCATTCTTTTTTTTAAGTAATAAATTTAAATGCAAAATCATATGTTATTTAATTTAATGAGAGCATACGTTTACATTCTCTTTCAGATAAAAGTGCTACTTCATATAAGACAAATTCTATATTCCTGTAAAGATGGGAAAAATATTTGAGCGTCGATTGGAACGACCATCACCAACTATATCTGTAGGACAAGCCATATTGGAAAAACTGCGTGAAAATGGCGATGAGGTTTTGCTAGTAAGTGCCATATAATCATTTAGTTTACGTATACGATGACGAATCAATCACTTTGCAAATTTTACGATAAAATAATATAAATGTATCAAACAGTAAAAACTTTTTCATCAGTGCTAATCGCCAGAGGTAAAATTCGTGAAATATATCTCTCTGAATTTTCGCTGTCGCATTATGCATCGCTCATAACGACTAGTCGCCCATCTGTCCTTGCATTTTTACTGTAATTCGCTTTAAGCTGCAAATACTAGAAGAAAAAAATTTTAATAATATGAGATACTATTTTAATAATAATATACCTATAATTGTGAATATAAATTCAGCTATTTGTGACCATCATATATTTCAAGCCATTATAATAAGTAATGTGTAATTGTCTCATATGCTTACATTGAATAATAATTTTTTTTAAATTTAAATGTAAAATATATAGATTGCTCCTATTTTATTTGAATTTTTAATATTCAACATGTAACACAAAACATTTTAATATGTATATAAAGAAACAAATTTTTTCAATCTCAAAAATTTATAGTTTATTAAACTTCTATTTCAAAATTCTCCAATTATATTGACTTTATAAAATCGCGAAAAGATACTTATTATTCTCTTATAGATAGACGGACACAATGGTAACCAGATGACGAATAAGGGACTACTCGAGAAAAGTGTGAAATTCGCGAATTTTTTACAAAAGAACGGGATAAAAATTGGGGACAGAATTGCCATCGCATCTGAAAATCGAATAGATTGGTTGATACCGGCTTGTGCGACTTTTTATATTGGTGCTATATTAGCATCGTACAATCCTTTGTACACGGAATGTAAGTAGACTGTAATATTATTATATTTAATATTATATTTATTAGATCTAATTATCTGCCTCTTATAATAAATACTTGACTTATAATTCTTAGATGAATTCCAATACCTATTAAACATCGCAAAACCGCGTATTATTTTGGTGTCTCAACGCACCGAACGTCTTATTGCTAAAATCGTTCCGAATTTATCCTGGAAGATAACATTAATAGAATTGGATGATCAACCGTTTGCAACAGACATCCGTACGTTGAAGGATATTTTAAATAATGAAGAAGCCGTAGATTTTCTGGGATACAAAGCTGTAGATATCGGTGACAACAGCAAACACCCGTTGGTTATTTTGTGTTCGAGCGGAACTACTGGATTGCCAAAAGGAGTAACCTTGTCTCATAAAAATCTATTAGCATTTATATCAAAAATAACGTAAGTATATGAATATCTATTAGTAAATATATTTTTACAAATTATATAAATTTTATATATATGAATTATTATAATTATGAAATCTAGAGCACAATATGAAACTGAATTCTATATTTTTAAGGAAATTATGATTGAAATTATCATAATTAAACTATTAATATATCAGAAGAAAAAGAACATTAATTAAATATTATATCAAATATATATAATATATATCTGTAGTAAAAAGTATAAAGCTTAAATAGGTTTTATGCTTATTACATATAATATGTAATTATTACAATGTTTACAATTATTTCACTCATATTTCATATTATACAATAATAATTATTTGAAAAGTTCTCTCTCTTTCTCTGATATGCTTTCAATGCATATATCTTAAATCCAATATAACACTTGCAAATACTCTTCCGGAAGAAAAGGAAATGTCATTTTTTTTATTCAAAAATACTATTAAGCATTTTATTTCATGATCCAAATGATTCTGCTCTTGAAAACACAGGCAACCTGAGTACTTAGATATAAGGCATCGCGATAGAATCCTGCTATTCCTACCGTTCTTTCACGGTTACGCCACAGGCATGCTCCTGGCCTGCATGTACACAGGCTCCATCATAGTCATGATGTCCGCTTTCGAGCAGGAACTCTTCCTGGACCTGATACAGAAGTATAAAATCACTCATCTGCCGCTTGTGCCGCCAATCCTGATATTCCTGGCGAAACACCCGCTGGTGGATAAGTACGACTTTCGCAGCGTGAGAGAACTAGTCTGTGGAGCGGCGCCGCTTGCGATGGACGTAAGTTTTCTTCTGTCGTCATGAAGTTTGTCTCCTTGCCTGCCGATCCTCCGGCCAAGTTATCGCGGTAAGAAAAGCCATCGGGAGCTAAGTGCCGAAGTGAGTCCTCGATGCCACAGCGATGGTGAGAGGATCGAACGAAGGACCGCGAGAGAAAGTCTCGGGGAGTCGTCGCGTTTTCACTAGACACAGGCCGCGACTAACTTTATCGTTTTTGTTTAGCCGGCTCGCGGAGTCGCTAAGAGAAGGAGAAGAAAATAAAAGGTCACATTCGCGAGTTCACAATCGCATCTTTCGGAAAATGCGAAACTGATCTTATCGTCGAGCGAAAATAAAAACTTTTAAAGTTTTAAAAATTGAGCACGCCTCCGAAATTTCCGAGCATCGTTCTTTACCCGGATATCGTTGCCTTTATTTCTCTCGTAGGTGAGATATGATCGCATTAGGATTAAATCACTGCTGACAAAAAAAAAGAGAAAAATAAAGAGAATATATATTTTTTTATTTTATAATATAAAAAAATATTTGCAAAGAATCGTAACTTTAGTAAAGTAATCTTTTTAAATTATTACAAGTCATTAATATCAATTTATTAAATAAATCTTGATATAATCAACATGTAACGAGTCTAAAGTAATTTTTTCCTTTTTTTCAGGTCGCAGCCGCTGTGAAGTCTCGCATCGGCATAAAATACATTCGCAACGGCTATGGCATGACAGAGTTATCGGTAGTAAGCAATTTGTGCGGACGTGAAGATGAAGATGAGTCGTTTGAGAATGCGGCAACCGGAGTATCCTTGCCCGGTTTCCTTAGCAAAGTAGTCGATCTCGAGACGCAAGAGACGCTGGACGTTGGTCAGGTGGGCGAGATCTGCTACATGGGAGAGCAATTGATGATGGGTTACTGGAACAATTCAGAGGCCACTAGGCAGACCATCGACCATGACGGATGGCTGCACACCGGGGACGTCGGCTACTTCGACGACAAGGGCAATCTGCGCGTGGTCAATCGTATCAAAGAGCTGATCAAGTACAAAGGCTATCAGGTCTCGCCGACAGAGATAGAGACGGTCTTACTGTCGCATCCTGCAGTGAAGGACACCGCGGTCATAGGAAGACCTGATGAACGCAGTGGTGAGATTCCTATGGCTTTCATAGTAAGGCAACCCGGCACTACGATTACCGTACAGGATCTCCAGGATTTTGTCAAACGTAAGTTATCTTTCAATTAGATCCTCGATCCTCGATATTTCTCTCAGATACATTGGATATTTTCTCCGTTATGTGTTATTAGCGAAGAATCAAAATTTGATAAATGCATTATAAAATTAAAATTGCTTAAAAAGTGGAAAATTTCTCAGAGGAAAAGATTTAAATTAGAAATCTTTAAATCTTTCATTATAGTTATAAATAAATTGAAATAACAGTAGGACGATTAAAACTTGGACGTACGTTTAAATTTGAATGTGCGGATGAAATACGATGCCAGCAATGAGCTCATGATATAGTAGTAACATAAAACGTTGTGTTGCATTATTAACGGCATTATTAGTTGTTCGCGACATCGCAACGCAACGACATTAAACGCCGCGTTGCATCATTAACAAAATTGTTAGTTATCCTCCCGTAGCCCACGTAATTTAAATATACAGCACCGCGAGATGTGGACGTACGCTGTCTTAGCATTGCATTTTATTACAATTATTATAATTATTTAATAACGGATGCGAGCCGGACGATGACCTGTTCATGTATTAACCGAACAATTTAATTTATCTTTCAGAGAAATTGTCGCCGCAAAAATGGTTACGTGGCGGAGTGCAATTTATCGATGCCATACCCAAGAATCCTTCCGGCAAGATTTTACGCCGCGAACTTCAAGCAATGATCCCTAAACTTTAATAATACAAATTTAATTGCTAGTTTCGATAAATTATCGATAAATATAAATATTAAAATATAAATCGATAAATATAAATATTAAAATATAAATCTTCCTGCAGGCTGGTATAATTACAATTATGTAGAAAAATACATATTTTTAATACTGTTTAAAATCGTTTATCGCTTCGAAAGTTATTTTATGTATTTTATGCTAAACAAATAGATGTTTCATTGCAAATAGAAATGATTAAACGTGTGGATGTTTCTCTGGAAAACAAATTTATTCTATATAGTATGCTGTCACGTCGAGTAATTTATAAATGAACTGTTGACCAACTAATGTGCGGCCACTCAAATAAATACGAACGTACGTTGGCCCAGTTTCTCTCTCATATATATATTGAAACAGCACAGCGAGAGGGTGCTTTCGAGTTATTACGCGATATCACTTTTACCCCAACCTACGGTGCTACGAAAATAAGTGAAGAAACCTGTTGCGTTACATACGTCAAGTAAGCGACGAACAACGCGCGCTCTCGTACTTCATCAATATCCAACTTCTTTCCCGCTTTACGACGATACACAGTCGAACTTTTTATCGATCTTCATGTATTTCTCATGGAATTTCTGTAATAAGAAAAATATCTATAACAGAGTTAAACTTTCTGAGTGAACGACAAAAATTGTAATGACTCACGATGATCGATTCAAGCCCTAAAATCTTCATGTGGCATTAAATTATCGGAAGCATCAATCTTTCATTATTTTCTCTCTATATCGAAAACTCTATTTTATAGTAAAAGCTTTGCCGTTTGATATAGTACGATATAAAGATATTAAACTTTTGATTTCAAAAGATTCAGCTGAATCAGCTGATTCAATGTATCTTATGTTATGAGTTTCAATCTAAATGCTATGTGTATGCAAGATTTTAATTCTTCAGAATTTTTTTAACAAGAGTATATTGATTACGAAAAAAAACATCCGTTGCTTCAATGTTTCATTCTGAAAGCATCTGCGAGCGATAATTGGTCGTAATGGCTGCGTCACTTAACGGAATAGTTAACTGTTAGCGGAAAAGTGCGGCATGAATTGCCGACGGTTTCGATGAATCAACGGGATTATCGGTATCCGGTATTGGAGAAATTTAAATTTCACGCCGCGCACTCTCTCGAATATGGTCCGGATACAGGATCGTCATGCGCGAAGGTATATACACGTATATACACGAGTATGTACGCGTCGATAGTTATGTGTACGTGTTCATGCCTTGCGTTCCTGTTCATTTAATTACGACGATTGGCCTGACAAATCTAATTGACGTGCATCAATTATTTGAGCCGCGTTCGAAGGCCGTTTAATTCCCTATCCTCTCTCCGACGAGAATCCTGGGTTTCGCAGTAATTCCATTTTTCAGGGACTCTCCCTTCGCGAAATTTTGTTCACCGTTTTGTCATCGACTCGGTAGCAGTCGCTATTTCGATATCCGTCGATAGATTTAAAGACAATTCTCCGTGAAATAAACATTCTTCTAGAATTCGATATCATACGTATTTTCATCGTCAAATAATTAATAATTTGAAAATAAATATAATTAGAAACGCATGACACCCGAAAATAATTAAATCAACATAAAACCAAGTAAATTACAATTTTCTTTCATTAGCTAAATCAACTAGAAAGTATATTTATGGTAATGTACATTTTTTTATGCTCGTTTTTTACTGTGTAATTTGAGGTGCCTATGTTTGCATATCGTGGCAAACGAATAATCCATAATCGCATGTTTGCCGCGTCCGATCATGTGCCTAATTATATGAAGCCGACCTGTGCATAGTGTACGATACTAATACGGCAAATTATCTGCGCGCATGCCGTTATTGGAGTCACCGTGACACATGTGGGGGTTCATTACTGAAATCCGCGTATTTAGACGAGAAAGGGTTTACCAAGGGTCGAGGGCAATGATAAATTACTGAATGGTAAAATGAATTTTCAAAAGTGCCACTTGCGTGGCTACTCTTAAACACTGAGGATTACCGCTTCGTTTAACCAAATTTTTGCTACAGAAATTTACAGAATTTTTATAGAATTCTTGCTACAATTTTTGCGATTCTTGAAAAGTAAACTTCTCGATTAATTTCGTCCGGAGACATTTCTTAAATTGAATATGATTTATAAATCTATTGTATCTAATTTTAAACTTGACTTTCCAAGATGATTACACATAATTTCCTTATATTATCCACAAAATCCTTATATTATAGCAAAATCATCTAATTAGGAAGAAGAGAACCCTATTTTATTATGAGATATTTATCATAATATAAACAAAATATTACATCGCAATGCGTACAAGACACGAGGACAAAATCCTCGATTTCTACGCGCGTGCACATATATGAAATACTTGGATGTACTCAGGAAATGAGATCCAAGTCTATTCGCGCGCAATCAGATATAGGAATTCGCGCATATGCCTCGCGAATATTCAGTTATTCACAATAGCCCGGATTTACGCCGTACACGCTTGACATGTTATTCGTGACGTTAATCAGTCCAAACGATTATATTCCTCATAGAGGCTTCATCAGTATATATTCAACCGTCTCATATTTTTGTAGGCACGTCTCGAGAAATATGACGATTGTCATTTCGCAAAACGTCGAATTATTATTAACATAATAATAGTATAATTTCAAAAGCAAGGATTTTTTAAAATAAAGAACATTTTCCCTCGAATCTATAATGCTACTAATCGTAAAAAATCATTTTTTTAATCATAAATTTGAATAGTCCATTAATAAAGTACATATTATTTTTTTTCTTTTTTCTTATTCCATGGAAAATAATTCATAATTTAACATTTTACACGAAGGAAAATTATCCTTATAACATCGGTAACATCCATTGATTGTCAAGGACGCTCGTTATAAAGTATGGATCGACAAGCGTGGTAGGAGTCGTTCTCTCTCGAGGAATGCATTCGCACATCGGTCGAATGCAGGGTACACGCTGCTTAAACCAAAGCACAGTTGAAAGGGCACAAAACGACGTATTTGGCTACAACAACGATAGATAGCGAGATTTGGGCATAACGCGCGGCACAATATGCGCTCACGCCGGGCCTTCAGAAAATGAGATACGATAGGAGGGTGGATACGAAGGGGTTGAGGAAGGTGAGGCGTGAAGTAGAGAGAGAGAGAGAGAGAGAAGGGGGGAGAGGTGACTAGGAGAGGGGCCTATCACTCGGCTGAATCCAATACAATGCGAACTATTGTACCCACGTTCGCCATCCACTCCAATTCCTGGCGTAGAGATATGCAGCCAGCTTGGAGGTTGCACTTCGGGGGTGTATAATATATATGTAGAAAGGTAAGTGCACGAGAAACTAGAAAAACAGATGGAGAAGATGAAAGAGAAAGGAAAGAGAAGGGGAGAAATTTATTCAGTTTAACGTAGTAGTTTTTTAAAGAATTAAAGCATGCTACAATAATTAAAGTAAAAATAAATTAGAGCAGAAAATATAAAAGCGAAGAGGAAATTATGCAAATTAACTTTTAGATTATAAAGATGTACGTATAAAATTACAAAATAAAAGAATCAGGGATACAGTCCTTATTCAGTCTAAAAATATATTTCTAATATATTTTTAGAATGAAAATAAATATAAGTATAATTAATATTATAAATTAACAAATAATTTTTTATATTGGATTATCATAAATATAGAAATATAATTACTAACAGAAAAAACATATTTTTTGATATCTTTTAACAAAATTGTACAGCGAAAAATATATTAGTATAATTATTTAATAATAATGATAATAAGCAAGAATTAAAACAAATAAAACTAAAAAGAAGACAAAACAAAGATGAAAATATAAAGAGAAACAATAAATAGGGATGAAAAAAGAGTAAAAGTAAAAATACAAGTATGAGGATAAGAAGTAAAATAGGAAGACAAGAAACAACTCGGAAGAAAATAGAAAAAAATAGAAAAGGAAAATGAAATCAAAGAGTATGAGAGTGATAAAAAAGAAAGGATAAGCAAGTACAGAGCAGAAAACCTCAAGAAGAAATAAAAAAAAAAACAAATATGACGAACATACAGCAAAATACAGAGATGAGAATCTCGCGAAAGAACTAAAACGAGAGGATTGATATAAGAGGAAAAGAGCATTAATTTTTCTCATTTCTCTCCTTCTCTTCCTCTTCCCCTCTCTCTCTCTCTCTCTCTCTCTCTCTCAACCATTCTCTATAATTTAAAGTAATTTCACAGTGCGGCGTACGAGTAACCGCACGTTAGTACCCCATCGTTCTGTCTGTCCTACGCGGCCATTACTACTCGCCCTTGAGCAGCGTATGGTAGTGCGGTCACGTTCCCGGGGAAATCATGCCGCTGCCGAAAATGAATTGTTATTACGACGACGATGTAGTGTCAAGTGCAACCCGGGGATGGGCTAGCGGGGCAATCTACGGCTCGCCATTCGATCCGGGTGTCTATTTTCGCGTGATGCATGGACTGCGTCCTGGGATTTACGCGTTCCTAGTGATGCCGATGTAAAATTGTCGCGGCAAAAAGAAGAAAACGTTAAACGATCCCGAGGATTACCGAGAGATTCCACTGATGAAGTGAGTGTGCAGAAAATTGAGTCTTTTTCGAATCAGCATAATAATGAACAGCGCCGATCGTAGTTCATCAGAACTCGATCCTTGCATGGAGAAAGAGGGCGAAGAAGAGGGAGGAGTCGATATTTCACGGTTAACGAGGGTTCATTTGACCGTCACTGCTTATTATAATGAACGAGCCCGTATATCTGACCATGGGTCATGGTGACGATAGAGGGGGAAGATCGGCTGGTACCGGAAGGGCCACCGAGTTAGAGCAGAAACGAGAGGGAGGCGAGTACTACTCAGAGAGAGGGACAGCGAGACAGATAAAGAGAGAGAGAGAGAGGGAGGGAGAAGGAGAGGGAGAGAGGAGACAGGCGTTTACGTGCGGCAGACATCCGATGATGCATAGTTGCTGTTGACATGCTGGAACGTCAGGCTCACATGACCTCTCGAGCGCAGCTATTATCCGCAAAGCGACTGGTCCCCTCTTCCTCCCAACCGTCGCCTCTTCTCTCTCTCATACCGCTGCCCGTTCCCCTGTCTGTCGAATTGGGACAATAACCGCTTCGCAAAGTCGTGTAATAATTATTGGCCGGTTTTCGCGAGTCCACTCCCTTCTCTCTCAACCCTTGTTATAGCGCGTTTTACCCCTCGTTAATTGCGCAATAATGCCACTACCGGCGCACCGCTTCGTCGTTGTTTCCCCGTTTCTGTCTCGTTCGAGAGATAGAGAGAGAGAGAGAGAGAGAGAGAGAGAGATTAAGAGAGGGAGGGAGGGAAGGAAAGAGATCTGTCGACACAGGAGGGACTCGAGTTTGTAAAATGCAATTTTGCAACACGCTGTATTTCCGCTGCCGGTTGTCCCACTAACATTTTCGGTTACAATCGGACTTTATTTACGTACGTTTCACGTTTAGATTGATAATGTTATTCCCGAACACACACACGGCTGATTGAAACATACCAAATCGTGCAAGCGGATGTTATCTAGTTGGACGGAGATTTGTTGTTTTAATGTATGTATTAGATCGTTGCGTGTATTTGAACATGTGTATTAGATCCTTGCAATAAAATTTCCTTACTTTTTTATTCAACAATCTGAGCAAATTTGCGAGAAATTAAATAAATTTAATC